AGTCTGCGGAGGGGCTGGGCGCAGGCCAGAAGTCGATGTAGGACGGACGGATTTAGGGTTTAGGGTTTTAGGGTTTAGGGGTTAGGGTTTCGGGTTTAGGGTTTAGGGTTTGAGGTTTAGGGTCTAGGGTTTCGGGTTTAGGGTTTAAGGTTTAGGGTTTAGGGTTTGGGGTCAAACCCTCCTACATCCTCAGCCCTCAACCCTGAACCCCTAGCCCTGACACCCAAAACCCTCAATGAACCCTGACCCTGACACCTAACCCTAAACCCCAAAACCTAAACCCTAAACCCCTAAACCCTAAACCCTAACACCTAAACCGGGCAGCGCCCATACTCGGAAACAGAAGATCCTCATGCGAAGCCCTAAACCCTAATGTAGGGGCCTTAATGATAATGAGAATAGGGTTTTGGGGGTATAGTATACAACAAAGATAAAAAGGAACCCCCAGAATAGTATAGGTAATCCTATTAAAGTCCTATATCAAACCCTACCCCCCTAAACCCTAAACCCTAAACCCTATGCCCTACCCCCCCTTTAACGATCGCAGAAGCAGACTGAACCCATCGTCTGAAATCCCGGAGAGTCCGCCTCGTTCGTCTGCCCCTCGTCGATGTCCTGCAGTGCTTCCATAGTCAAGGGACGAAAGGAGGGACCGACCCTTGGGGTGATATAGGGGCTTTATGAGACTCTGTAAGGGGTATGTAAGGGGTTGTATCGGGTATTTGGATTTTGGGTCCCTTCTATTGTCCCTGAACATAAGGAGTCAGGGTTTGCCACCCACAGTTTCCGCTTTAGGTTTCGGGGGGTGGCTCTTCGAAATAATGTAGGGGCCTTCATCATTAGAATAGGGTTATGGGGTATATTGTATTATAGTTCTAAACAGGAACCCCCAGAATAGGATTGGTAATTAGTTAGGCCCCTATATGACTTAAGGGATCAGGGGACTTCAAGCCAACAAATATCACATGCAGTTGGATGTAGCATACCCAGTTTATTCTGTCTTGTAGCTCCGTTGATGACTTGCCGGTTGAAATGTTCCGTCCCCAGGGGGAACTCTAAGTAGGGCCCTTTCTTGCCCAGAAGAGAACGACAGTTCTATGACGGTACCCTACTTTTCTAGATCTACTATCCGCAAATGCGGGAGCCTTCGTCAATCTAGGCTGCGAAGGAAACGCCCAAGAACGCTAAAGGAACCCTACACCCCAAACCCGAGAACCCTAAACCCTAAACCCCAAACCCGAGAACCCTAAACCCTAAACCCCAAACAGTAAAACCCTTAACCTGAAGCACATGTAAAGTAGTGGCCTTCATAACTATAATTATGATTATAGTATAATATACCCCAAACCCTATTCTAATCATTGGAAGTAGGGGCCTTAATAGATACAATTATAGTTATAGTATAATATACCCCAAACCCTACTTCTAATCATTAAGGCCCCTAGATTCGAGACCCCCCCAAAGAAAGGGGCCTCGAACGCTTCTTGGAGTTCCTTCATCTGCTCCGTCCGTCTCTGGAGGGCCTGGACAGAGCGGGTTCCTTTCAGGGGGATCCTTTAGGTTTAGGCTTTGAGGTTTGGGGTTCAGGGTTTACAGATTAGGGTTTAGGGTTTAGGCTTCGAGGTTTGGGGTTCAGGGCTTAGAGATTAGGGTTTAGGTTTTAGGGTTTGGGGTTTGGGGTCTGGGGCTTAGGCTCCTTTTAGGGATCTGCCAAGCGGCTGTATAGGGTTTCGGGTTAAGGGGGGTGTAGGGTTGTGAGAGCTTCAAAGTGTAACGTCGCGGCGTTCAGCGCTTCGGCCGTCGTCGTAGCTTAAAGCGTTTCAAGCTGAACTAGGAATAGGTAGTGGGAAGCAGGCATGCACTGCTTTAGGGCTTACAGGGTGCCTGGGTAACAATCGCTCGACTGCGGGGGGTTAAGGGAAACTCTCGGCGCGGGGTTTGACGTCTCTGTAACAGAACCCTAAACCCTAAACCCTGCAACATCCTCATTGAGGCAACCAGCCCTATGATCCAGGGTGAAGTCAATGATCTACCCCCCACATACAGGAGGAAACAAAAAACACGTCTGGAGACTCCTACTAAACGGACCATACTCAAAACCAGGCAGAAGTCAACCCAAACAATCCCCAAGATCCATGTAAATGTCCAAGATCTTGAAGATTGACCGTGGCGACTCCATCCGAGTCTGGGTGCTTTACTCCGGCACACCAGAACGGCCGCGACAATCCGTGTAGCACCGGGAGCCACAGTAAGTGAACAGAAAAAGGCGGAAGGTGGGGGGCCTAAACACCGGACAACAAACCACTTAGATTGACTTTCTTTAAGAAGAGCAGCGGGGCTTAGGGTTTAGGGTGTAGGGTCCAGACGTAGATGCAATCGCTGCAGGATTCAGTGGACCTCTGCTAGAACAGTTTCTGCCTAAATCCGAGTTGAAGATCCCAATTCCCAACCTCTCTTGCCCTAAATCCCTACACCATATCCCAAAGAGCAATACACCTTACATAAGGAATATCTCTCAAAGTATAAAGGGCTCTGTGCGCTTTCTTCCTCCCGCCTTTAAAGACGCAATGTCCCTGTCATAGCTGGCTCTCTCGATGGCGGTATTCACAAAAACACCTCAGAAAACAGAGTTTCAGGGCGCAGGATTTAGGGTTTAGGTTTCAGGAGCTACACCATAGGATTACTATTGTCATTGAGAAATACTATTAGTGTTGTTAGTGTTGCTGTTATTAGCAGCACGATTATTATCACTTGTGTGATTATTGTAATTATGTATAGTCTTCTTATGAATATTAGGAGTATGAGTATGGAGTAAGAGTATGAGTATTGGTATTGGTATTGGTTTTGGTATTGGCATTCGTATTGATATTAGTACTGGTATTGGTGTTGGCAGTCGTATCGGTATCGGTATCGGTATCGGAATTCGCATTCGTATTCGTAATCGCATTCGCACTCGCATTCGAATTCGGTTGGCATTCGTATTTGTATTAGTATTTGCGTTAGCCTTTGTATTCGTATTAGTATTTGCCTTAGCATGCGCATTAGTATCGTTGTTATGACTATCCCAACTACGACTCCTTACTACTACTACTACTACTACTACTACTACTACTACTACTACAATCATTACTGCTTTTTACTCTACACCATCACGCTTTGCGATTGCAGCCCCGGTGGCCTTCAGGCTTCTGGCTCAGGATGTCAGGGTTTTAGGGTTTAGGGTTTAGGTTTTATTTAGGGTTTAGGGGAGGCTGAGGCCTACTAAGTCTGAATCAAGGTCAGGGTTCAGGGTTGAGGGCTTCGGGTTTTAAGGTTGAGGGTTTAGGGTTTCTTAGGTGTAATATAGGGGCCTTAATAATTGGAATAGGGCTTGGGGTATATTATACTAAAATGATAATAAGTAACCCCTAGAACCTTATTCTGATTACATTAAGGCCGCTACATTAGGGTGTAGGGTCTAGGTTTCAGGGTTTAGGATTGACATAAGGCGCAGACTGGTGAAGATTTCAAGAGGTCTGCCGAATTATCCGTAATGGCATGATCACCACGCACCACAGTCAAATAATGCTACTACTACGCTCCCCTTGTCAAGTGAGATAACAGCAGAAACGACAATCTTGCGACAGCACGAACTATAACCCCAGTTACGACAACCAACACCAATCATAGTGAAGTTGCATTCCCCAAACCCTAAACCCTCCATTCTCTGTTGTTTTGCAGCTACGAGCTTGAACGGGGGGAGGCAGGGTCTTCTAGCAACCCTTATACTGTCGAACCTCTTGAAGAACCCTAAACCTGAACCCTAAACCCCAAGCCAACTCTAAACCCGAACCCTATTCGTGTTGCTAAAGGCAGCCGGGGCTTTTGGGGGCTTTCTGGCCTTAGGGCTTAGGTTTGGGGCATAAGGCTTAGGGTTTAGGGTAGTTTATTTTGAGGGCCTTCTTCCACAGCAGTTCTGCAGACAGCCTCCTAGGACCTAGGAGGCAGGCTATTTTGCTGCCACCAATAACGGAAATAGAGAGTACACGCTCCAAGAAAAACCCCGGTCGCAGTGGTTGCCCTTGACATAGTCAGTCCCTGGCATCTTCGCTAGCTCACTACCATGCCCTCCTTTAAAACACTTCGGGTTCGTTTCGATGGCCTGGTAAAAAAACGACGAAGCCGACACATCTGTGCCGAGGGTAGGAGTTAGCATGACAAGATATAGCAAGCATTTGGGGATCTACATAACTGGGTTCTTGCTAAGGGATTTAATAACAAGGAAAACTTATTATTTACTTTAGATCCCTATTATTTAAATTCGCCTCGGCCCCCGGCCGAAGCGGTCAGAGGTTCCTATTCGGACTTCCTCTAGACCCCACCTCTAATCCCCTCCCCAGTGACCCCCACCCTCCAAAATCACCCTCTTTGTTTGCGGCCGGGCCGAGGCGGACGACGCGAAGCGTTTAAATTTGATCCTGTAACAAGAACCCACTTAAGGGCCGCTGGTCTGAGGGTCTTTTGGTTTTCTGAAAAACCGTCACCTGTGGCAAACAAGCTGCCAGTGACGACATTCAAGATCGTAAAAAAGCTGATGATGATGTAAAAGATCAGGACGGCGACGGCTAGCAAGGAGACCTGGCACAAGAACAGCTGGCATGCCACAGATGATGGAGGCAATACAGTAGCAGAGGTAGCGTTGGTACAGCAGCAGCCGAAGCATCAGGAGGAGGACAGTAGTAGTGGTAGTCTTTGTTGTTGTCGTAGTCGTAGTCATAGTCATAGTCGTAGTCGTAGTCGTAGTCATAGTCGTAGTCGTAGTCGTAGTTGTCGTAGTAGTAGTAGTAGTAGTCGTCGTAGTCGTAGTAGTAGTAGTAGCAGCAGTAGTAGTAGTAGTAGTAGTAGTAGTAGTAATAGTAGCAGGAGTAGTAGGAATTTAGGGGTTAGGGTTTTGGGTTTAAGGGCTTAGGCTTAGGCTTTTGGTTCTAGGCTTGAGGGTTTCGTGGTTTAGGGTTTAGGGGCTTTATACATAGACTAAAGCTTTGGGGTGTACTGGAATAGAGCTTTGGGGGTTGATATCACATGTAAGTACATTGCGACTAGAAGGGGATATGATTTCCCAGGGATCCGCCACGTCAAAACCCTCAAAAACACTCAACCAAAGTTCCCTTCAACCCTCAAGGTTTAGGGTTTCGGGCTTTGGGTTTAGGGCTTAGGGTTTAGGGTTTAGGGTTTACGGGCTTAACCACAAGCATTCAATCCGAACACGGAGCAGCGAAAGCTCACAAGCTCTCTTGAAAGGATGCAGATCTGACTTCACTGCCCAGTGGTTAGAAAGCAGTAGGGCAACGCAGTACGCCACCAAGTCGCCTTGCCGCACCTATACAAACTCTCGGAGACACTTTAGTGGACGTGTTTAAGGTTTGGGGTTTGGTTGGGTCAAATTCCCCCACAGGAACGGTCCCGTAGTCAGGAAATCGAGAAACCCTCCACGAGTTCCTTTGCGGCAACTGTCTCTGTAGACAGTAAGGGGGATCGACCTAATCTCAACCCCCAACGCCCCCAAACCCTGCAAAACACCGCTGACCTTGAGGAAACCCTTACAGAATCCTTAGAGAAACCCTTCTAGAACCCTTCAACAACAAAACATAGATCCCTCAAGGATAGAAGCTTTAAAGAAACCCTAAACCCTAAACCCTGAACCCAAAAATCTTAAACGAACACTTAAAGACAGCTCAGAGACAGGGGCGGTGGGCCTCGCGCAGCGGATTCAGCGCTTGCTCCCACGAGATGCCGTCCGTGATGGCGAAGAGTAGGGTAAGCATGGACTCCTTTGTCAAACTCTAGGGTTTAAGCTATGGGTTTTAGGTTTTGGGTTTAGGGTTTAAGCTATGGGTTTTAGGTTTTGGGTTTAGGGTTTAAGCTATGGGTTTTAGGGTTTTGGGTTTAGGGTTTAAGCTATGGGTTTCAGGGTTTTGGGTTTAGGGTTTAAGCTATGGGTTTCAGGGTTTTGGGTTTAGGGTTTAAGCTATGGGTTTCAGGGTTTTGGGTTTATGATGCCCATCCCGAAATCGTGCTCCTGCTCGCAAACATGTTGGCTCGGCTGAAAATAGAATCGGTCCTTGTCCTCGTGTTCTTCCACCGCTTTCGGACTTCGTTTGTTCGCACGATTTAATGGCGCAAATCAATGTTGAAAAGAAAGCAACCAGAGCACGAAACCCCAGCTTTTAGATCCTGAGCCCTGAATCTCATACTGTAAACCCTAAACCCTAAACCCAACAGACCCACAACCCTGAACCCCAAACCCTATATTCAAACCCCAAACCCTAAGCCCAAAACCATAGAGACCCAAAAGCCTAAACCCAAATCCGAGCCCAGAATCGGCGACGCCGGGCCAGTGCAAGCGCAGGGATTCCGGACACTCAGGCACGGCATTCTTGTCGCTGCCTCTGAGGGCTTAGGGTTTAGGGCTAAAGCCTAATAGGGTTTCCGGGTTGGGGTTTCGGGGGCCTCTGCAGGGATTCAGGCTTTTGGAGTTTAGGGTCTCGCTTTTGGGCATTCGAGACAAGTGGGTCTGGCAGCCTTGCGGGCTTAGTATAGAAGCCTAAATAATTACCAATATTGGTGTTAGGATACCGCATTTTTAATATACTATACAGGAGCCCAAAACCGCATTAAAATCGTTAAGGCCCCTACATTAGTATCTGTAGGAGCCTGATGGAGACTCCGGGGTTCTCACTGGCATTCTTGAGGCTTAGGATGTCTGGGTTCTTGTTAAGGGATTTAATTTAAGTTCCCATAATAGGGATCTATGGTAAATAATATGGTTTCCTTATTATGGTAACTTAAATTAAATCCCTTAACAAGAACCCAGATTTACAAAGCGGCTTTCTTCCTCGAGCTGCTACATCAAACCCTTCAGCGCTTGAGGGTTTGGGGTTTAAACGGGTTGCTATTGTCTCGATGGATCAAAAACAAGCAAAACGCAAAACCCTGTCTAGCAGACACTTGTGACTAAATCGATTACCCTGCCGAACTGGAAGTGTTGACACTCTACCACATGGTATGCTACATACGTATGCATACGGAAATCGAAACGAGTATAGCATGCAAGTATGCAGGCATGTAGGTATGTATGTGTGTTTGTACCAACAATGTGAAATGGTTCCACTAGACATGTGTATGTTTATGTCTCTGTGTATGTATACACATGCTAATGATGACAAGCCAAACCTGCGCAGCGCTGGAAACCTGAAAAATCAAACAAAGAAAGAACAGACTTAACCCTCGAAGTGAAGCACAAACCCTAAGAATGTCAATGAACCCTGAAACCTACACGAAACCCGTCCTTGCCGCCGAAAAGCTCCTTATCACCGCAAGATACCGGCAATAGTCGGAGACCATCTGCATAATGATCACGGAGAAACCTAGCAGTATCAGGTGTAGGCATGAGGGTTTTCGGGCATGTTGATTCAAGGCTTGGGGCGCAGACCTTCGAAATTAAACCGTAGGGCTGTAGGGTTTGAGGGTTAGAGCGTAAGGCATTACGGTTCAGAGTCGGGTGTTGAATACCCTGGGCTTAAGGTCTACAGTAGCGTTGTTAAAGTTGTTCGGTGCTATGCAGGTTTGCCACACACAGGTCTTGAAGGAATTGGGAGCTGATGTGCTGTCAGCTCGTTCTTGACCCCCCAAGCTGCTTCTTGACCCCGCGTGAGCTTTTCCTAGACCCCCCAGCTGTTTTTTGACCCCCGTTTTTCTGATTCGGGCTTACCGGTGCTGCAAAGTGAAAGAAGCTACAGCACAAGATTGCCGGTCAGGTCGTTCACGTCGCTCACCCCGTAGATCGCGTTGGCCATCGTGCAGTCCCCTTCCCTGTAGATCACGTTGCTCATGTCGTTCAAGTTGCTGTCGTTATGTCGTTCTGGTCACTCTAGAGCTCCGGTAGATCACGTTGGTCATCTCCTTCACGTAGCCTGGTATGAACATGCACACGTAAAGTTCCATGTCAGCCTGGTACAGGCTCAAGCGTCAGCAGCAGTCGTTCACGTCGTTCTCCCTGTAGATCACGTTGGTCATCTCGTTCACATACGCATGGTCGCCACGACACAAAACTAACACCGAAGACAGGGGTCACGCATCTTGGAATGAACAACATGCACACATGTAAGTCTAACTCACGCTCGTTCAGTTCTCTCACGCTAGATCTCGGAAGCAGTCAAGCAAGCCCAGTTTTGGGCTCGAGCAGCACGAGCGGCGATCTCCGGAAGAGACAAACGCCTCGACCTTCGGCCATCGCCTGTTTAGGCCTGTTATGTAAGGGTCTAAGGTTAGGCTTTGGGGTTTAGGTTCAGAGTTTGGCCCTAAACCCTAAACCCTAAACCCTTAAACCCTTAAACCCTAAACCCTAAAGAGCTTAGGGCTGAAGGGCTAGGGAAACATGAGAATAATGTTGTAAAAGGACTAAACCCGCTAGAAAGCCCTGGACTCACTTTCAATCGGGCTTGGGGGTAGAGTATAGATAAACTACAGATAAACCCTAATCCCTAAACCCCTAA